TATGCAATATTAAAGATGACAATGAGTTGCTATTTTGTTTTCTAAATCAGGACTTCCCAACAAATCTATACAAGGTCACTACAAGACAAATTTCTGTCCTTGAACTTGTAGCGTGTCTTGCCACATTACTCCAATTTACACATTTTGTCTTTCAAGCTTGCACACCTTACCTTTAGCCGGATGGGGTGAGGGGGGTGATGGGGTGAGAGACATTTTCAGTTATTTCTATGGTCAAATAAGCCTTGTTTTAATGATGTAGAATGCAATAAATGCATATTTTGGGTTATGTGTGCTTCTAATCAAATATCAGCACAAAGATCATGAACGAAAATTCAGATTTGTCCAAAATGTAGGTTATGACCAGTGTTCTCTCCAGAAAACAGCATGAAATATTGACTAACAATATAGTATGTTAATTGCTTCTAGTGTATGCATTATTATGCTAAATAGACTATTCTTTATCAAAATTTAAACAGTTTGAAACCCAAGATGACTTTGCAAAACACTTTGGTCTTTGCCCAATCTAGACTTGTCGGCGCCACTTGATTGACAGGCGCGTGGTTTGGGATTCACTATTTCATAAGGGTTGTCGGCATGGTGAATTGCAAGTATTATCTAGCGTGCGTAAACAGCAACCATTCTTTATTTTTTATGCTTATGTTGTAATTTAAAAAATAGTTGGGTGTGGATTAAATTTGTTGAAAAATGTCAACCTCCTCGCTCATTTTAGTCAGTTGTACCTGTTTCAAAAATGGACTAGACATAATAACGGTTGTGATACCCTCGTTATTTTCAAACTGCAGTTGAAAAAGTGATTCGCTCAAGGAATTCACTTTTGATAATGGAATGACCCCAATTGTGGTCTAGATTGGAAAAGAGCCAAGTGTTTTGCAAAGTTCCAAGATATATTGCTATCTGACTGTCCAAATGATTCTCAGAACAGCTGTAATTGACCACTACCATCATGGACCATATACTACATTCAAAGATGGGTACATATATCGCAGAGTTAGCATCAGGTAAGCATGTATAATGAAGGGTTGTCATGTGATTCAAAAATCACTCCATGCAAGATCTTGCACCATTGACATTCACATCTCATTTTTAATAGCGCAATATCAGGCAAGTCAAATACGAATACATACACAATATTGTATAGGAAAACATATTTTATTGTATATTATATAGTAACATTCCAGTTTTGAAGACAGCAATAAGTAAAACTTAACATCACTGACTATACTGTATGTGCCACCAAACTCAATCACTACTGCCAAGAACATGCAGAATTTGACACATTTGTCATTCTGTCCAAATTGTCTTTAATATATCACACTGACGCAGACTTGCATTATTAGTGACAATGGGGTATAAAATAGTGAGAACACCGGGAATCTGGTGGTGCAATAAAAAGTTGATTTGAAATAAACGTTAAGTTTCACTGCACGCCATGTAAATAAAACAAAGGAAAGCTTTTTTTTAAAAAAGAAAAAGACGTTGCCTTGATCGAGGCACTACTTGGTAATTTATATAATCCCCCCTAACCCTACCACTCTGCACTACACCTAACATAAACTAGACTAGAAAACACCACTGCATTTTCAGCATATTACTTTATTGAGCAGATTTATATATAAATGGCAGTTGCATAGTTAATATGCAAACTTCACAGAAAAAAATCCTTATCAATGTGTTTGAGAATCTCTACAAATGTGTCCAGTTTATCATGATATCGGCAATGCCGTCATACTTTTTAGTTAAATTACAAATAAATTTATCCCCCATGGTTTTCACAGTTGAAAACAGCACCCTAAGATTACAATTATTTGTTGATGTCCTATTTTTTTTTTTGGTCTGGTTCTTACTGATATCCTACAAGTTTTGATGTAGTGGGATAACGTGTACGGGTGGTCATGCATTTGTCCTTGTCAACGAAAAGGCTGTTCTTCTTGACAGTGATTTCTTTTTCTAGAGTCATCCTGGTATCCATGAGATCTTTCAAAGAGGCTTCAGAGTCTGCCAATCTCTGCGTTAAGTTGTCAATTGACTGTTGAATTTCACCAACCTCACCAATTAATCTTAAATAAAAGAAAAAAAAAAGAAAAAAAGAATTAGTAAGGCTACTCTGTACAGAAGTGTCAATGCAAGAAAACAATGAACATTGCATTTGGAAATAGCAACACCCTTATTGGTTTCAATAGTACAGTGAACCATGACCTTGCCCCAACAATTTTTTTATGTTCACAACAAATGTGACATATAACTGATCTGATATTGTATCAGCGTTTTGTAAACACTCAACTACATTGTGGAATGTCATGAAAAACAGGACCAGCAACATTAAGGAATACCAATAACATATTTGCTCTATTAGTAGCACATGTGCTTACATGAATGACACAAGTATTTTCATATACGTAAGTTTGTATACAATGTATGCGTTTCTAATAGACCAAATACAATACTTGATTTTGGCTGTGAAATCAATTTTTATTTATCAAGCAGACTGCTTCAATGTTTACCGAAAATACTACTGTCTTACTTACTTGTATTGTGCAGGGTCACGGCACAGTTCAACATTAGGTCTGCCTGTTCTTATGTGAAGTCGAGTCTGGGCTACTTTCATTGGGGCTTCTTTATCTTTGATGGCTTGCTTCAAATCATTAATATTTTTCTCCATGTCGGCAACTTCATCAATGACCTATAATGGGACGACACAAGGTGTTATACCAGTAGTTAATATACGATATCTGCAGTTTTCACACGGCAACGTTTTACAAATAAATCAGACTTGATCAGATGAACCAAATACTGTAGAAATAATTCAAGTTTCTTAAATTTTTAAACTTAATCTGTATAGTCAGTAGCTTGGGAATTAATGTTGCTAATCTGATTTATGTGTGGTTATGTAATGAAACTGAATAAATAGTACATAAGCACTTGCCATTGTCTGTTCATAATGCTCTGAAAGTGACTATTTAATCACATTATCAAAACCACAACCAATTTGTATCTGATCAAAATAGTTAATAGTGGTAGTATATTTTTAATAAAATAGTTATTCACATTCTTCATTTTATATTTTCCTTGTGAAAATTGACAATTAATTAAAAATTTGAAATATGAAATGAAGTTCCAGTGAAAAGTGATAAATATATTGATTACTATGCAACGCACCTTTTTGAGATGGTTCTGCATCTGTGTGAGTGCATTATGGACCTCCTCTACTCTCTTGGCAAAGGCAGAGTCCACAGTATTGCACTGTTCACGCATATCATTGGAAGTATCAGTTAAGATATTATCAATCAAGTTCCTAAGTTGAATAGATGCCATGCGTTCATGTTCAGCTCTAACAATGTTGTCATGTGAGAATTTGGCCCATGACTCTGGATCTGAAGCACTGGTGAGTGAGAAAAAAACAACGATTATTATCATAGTATGTACATGTAAGTCATGTAGTGGTCCTGGCACTGTTTGCTCTGATGGTGACGACATATTGTGTTACCTGGCATCTACCTAGCCAAAGTACCGGTAACACTGGAGAGACAACTGTTTACATTGTTATGGGTTACCAATAATTCATTATGAATCACGTTGCCTGTTAATTTTGTGTCAAGTTTTGACAAATAAATGTAGCAACTGCAAAGTTATGGTGCATCTGTGATTTTATTATCTGAAAACAGTTTATAATTATTCACATCAACATTACAACTACACAATTTCATGCCCACCTACAACATCAACATTACAACCTTTTGATTGCCATGTATTTTGCCTATCTACATTTTTGGTACAATATTTGAGTTTTGCGTTCAAAGGGTTATTAACCTACAATTAAGCTGTTACCAGATGTTGGTCAGAAACAGGAAAAGAGTGTTACTTACATTTCCTCAAATTTAGCAGATCCTTCATGATACTGGATATCAGTAGAGTTGTTATTCAAACTGGCACACTTCTCATCAAGTCTGAATGCCTCAAGTTTATCTGACCAATCCATGGTCAACTTGTGCTTACCACCACGGTTCAACCTGGCATAGACACAATAAATCAATGGTTAATAACAGCAACTTACTATGGACCATCAAATTGTTAGAGCAATAAATTTAATTTGTTAACATGATATTTCTGATGTTTAAATTTTAAAATGTTATGAATGTCACTGACTCTTCAAAACTTATTAGAATTTGTTCATTGCTTAGCATTATTCACTACATTTTACTGTTATTTTTCTCTCTTTTTCCATCCCCTCGGGGATGATTAAAAAAATATTAAACTTGGTATGATTCAGATAATTAGTATTTCCTAAGCACTGAATAATTCCATTCTAGTGTCAATGTGTCATTAATAAGGTAATAAAATTTGATTAGAGAACAAGAGCTTGTTACCATGGAAATTATTTGAAAGAACATCAATTTCTAAGATTCTCTTAGGAAACTGTTTTAAAGGTGAGCAACGGTGCATACACATAGTGTGCGTACACCAGTACTGCCATGACAATGACATGCACCCATTATTTCCTCAAAATTACCAGTACAGGTCATAACTATGACCTACCTTAAATAACACAAATTATCTTACATATAAATACATGATACAGTATGGTGTATATTGAAATATTCGGATGAATTCTACTTACTTGATCTGTTTATCTGATTCGGCGATAGTCCTCTGCAGTAGATCTCGCACTTTCATGATTATACTCACTTCCTGCAACATAGAAGGACAGAAATAAATTACTCTAAATATACTGAGACAAGTTGAACCTAACATCAAATAATAGTGATATCCTGAAAGCCTGTATTATGAGCCCTTAATCATAAAAGTTATAGCTGTCTCGTATCGTTTTGTTTACTTTGCCTGACAATATAGCTGCTGGTTCATAACCATGGCATCTCTTTTAGTCAATTGTGTGTGGATGAACAGACCTTTTATTTCCAGCTGATTAGATCGATAGAATTGACTAGTTTTCATAGCACACCAAGTTTGTTATTGAACTCGTAACTAATTAACACATGGTAACATCTTAACAAATTATTTTTTTTAAATAACACATACTTTGTTTAGCTGCAATTCCACGTTGTCTTGTACAAGATCGACTTCTCGTCTTCGGGCACGACATCTGAGGTTATCCTGGGCAATCATAAGTGGGACATCAGTTGCATCCAGGGCATTCTCCAACCTCTTTTTCTGTGCACAAAGCAGATCAGTTTCGTTCCTGATTTCATCGATTTCTCTGTTCAGCTCCTCTTTCCAGAAATGTATATCGTGGATACGTTCTTCCAGCTTCTTAGTAGAGTCCTGTTGCGTACGCTGTGTCTGAGCCGCTGTTTCGGCAGCAGTCTTCTTCGATTCATGTCTCACTCTCTCGGCGTTGTCCCGATCAGAAAATGATTGGTAATATTTCTGATAGTTAGATTCGTTCCATTCTTGAGGCGTGTGTTTCGCCGAACGGAACCCTTGTGACGATGGAGCACCGGTGACTAGACCAGTTACACCGCTGTCGTTCAATGTACTGAGCTTCGCAACACTCTGAGCCAGTTCGGTTTCAGCCAGGGTTCCCGATCGCAGCGGTAGAGTCGGCATTGGAGGAGTTCGCTCTCTCGATAGCAACAAAGCTCCAGCGTCGGCCATGTTGATTTGTCTAACCTAGGAAGAAATCGCAAAATGACCGTTATGTTTCCACTGATTAAAACAAGCTAGCGTAAATAATTCGACGGAAATGCCTCCCTGTAGACTAAGCAACTATTAAGAAGGAAATGAATGACCAAAATCCAGGTAAACTCAAATTAATTGGACAAACCTGGTGGATAAAGTAACAGCAACAGAACGTCAGAGAGTGATAAACTGTGTACGTTCCTAGGGCACCTCGCGATATGCATATGGAACGTTTGTTTGTGGTTGTCAGGGAGATACCGTTCTTTTGTTCTACTCCGTGATGTCATGAATCACTGGCGCTGTGATTGGCTAGCAATTATTCCTTAGCGACAAAGTGCGCCATCACCTTCTAGAGTCGAGAAGTACGTAAACAAAAAAGAAGAACTTTCCGGCAAGTGCACCATCCGACTTGCAGACAGGCAATCACAGTAAACATTTCAATGTGTGCCACCTGTCGCAAAACGAGCACATGTTTTCCAATTTCAGAAACTGAAGTTGGCTACGGTTACTAGTAACCGTGAGTTGACTAAGAAATTGTGTATATTCTTTCAGAATACATGGAACTATGTGCAAAATGTTGAGATGAAAATTATGACTTTCAAAGAACAGATAAAGAAGAACCAATCTGATTAATATTTTTTAATTTATCTATTTTTGTTTATATTTGAAAATATTATTTAAAAAATCGGATTTTAATCAGATTGTGGAAGAATGTTCACAAGATCGTAATTATGAGAGCATTTAACATTTTTGCTAAATCTAACTTCTGTAAGATTTCTGATAAGAAGTATCCAGGCTTTTATTCAATAACATTGTGCACTATGGAAACTGATAACACTTGAAATCAACGCGGATGGCCCTTGGTTTTGTTTTTCAGATATTCGAAAGAATCATTGTCCAACATGCACATAGTAACTTCCCAGTATGTATTTTGACAACCATCTCTTCATTGGAAGTTATATTTTGTGATACATGTATAATAAATATCATAACAAATGGTCGAAATTCTCAAGTTACACTGGTTTCTATGGTGATATTATTTCTTCATATTTCATAATTTTGCTTGGTGCAATGTGATGAATAAGTCGTACATTATTGACACGAACTTGAATCCTGACATTGTTAAAAACAATTAAACAATTATATATAATTTATGCAGTATGGACTTTGGTAAATGATAGCGTTCCATTGAGTACTAGTATATTGGAAAATTCTTTCCAATAATGCACTGCATACTGTGCAAAAACATGACCAGTAGTGCAAAATTTGAATTCGCCTAGACCTGCCCGAAAAATCTTCTGGTGACTCGTCATATGATCATGTGCTGATATATATAAGCCCATGTTAAGCCCGACTCATCTCAACTCATCTTCAAACGCCCAGCCATAGCGAGTCGTAAAAGGGTGCGTAGCTGTTCCACTACTTATGCATGGTTTCTATTCGAGATGGTATCCGATTTATTCAGATTTTATGTTAAAACGTCTGGTGTCGATATAATGATATGCGGAGAGTGTGCGGTAGGTAGCGACTGCGTCCAAATCATGATAGCCCCGTACTTTTATCCAAAACACGTGACTTAATCAATATTCACGAATTTGAAAAATTTCAATCTAATCATACAATTTGAATTTTAAAAAGCGATGACATAATCACGATTGTCATTTTCCCACTTTTTATAAATCGTTCATCGTTTTGTTTACGTGAGCATAACTGCCGTAGTTAATTGTGAAATACTTATATTGTCTGTATATAAGGTAGACCAACAAATAATTATCTATGTGTTTCTCAGTGGGCATTAAATATCTATATAAAACACGTATTATAATTATTATTGACAGTATACTGTATATAACGTCCATTCTGCGAGAAACCCAAAATAGGATTGTTATATGCCTAGATCAGACTGGTACTCGAGTACAGATATACTCAGATTATATAGAAACAATGCACATATCGATAACTGTCGAGGAACAGGGTTCTAGGTAACACAAATAGTATGTTCAGGTCCGTCACGGTAAAACTATATTATCATCATACTTCATAATCAAACTCGAACATTTTGTGATGTCTTGCCCTGTCGATGCCCAACACAGAAACATTCTATCAGAATTTTGCAGGGGGTGAGATCTGCTCACCAACCTCGCGCCGAAGCCGCGACCTTACTAGGGGGTCCGTGGCATGCTCCCCATTAAAAATTTTCAAATCTAGACGCTCTGAAACGCTATTTCCTGCATTTTGAGGGGCAAATTTCGCCGACACAAAGGGTTTCAGCATTTTTTCCGAGGGGACGACCGCTCCCCTGCCCCGTGGGTAGTATTTATCTCGTCGTTTATTATGTATTATTAATATTTGGTCATCATGGTTTGATCTATCGCTACTGTGTGCGTAATCATGCTTTGACCAATATTTGCGAATCATTCTTTTAAAATTTATACAGCAACTTTTAGATATGGACATTATTCGATGATCTTCCCTTTTTTGGATTTTCTCGGTGCCTTTGTTTTTCTTTTCTGTGTTTTTATGTACTGCCAGTGTGTTCATTGGAATGGATGTTATCAGGGTGTTATGAATAAATACACTTGTGTGTTCACTTAGGTGAAAAGATGTTTTTACAATGCTGTCACGTTTGACAGCTTTGGTTATCACTAATTACCACAGTGAAATCACACTGTTTCTCTGTGATAAATTGTCGATTATCGCATGAAGGTACCGCCGTGATTAGTGATAGCATGGAGGTAGAAAAGATCTCTTTTCTACCTCCATGGTGATAGTTACGGGCATTTTATTCGAACAGTGCCCTCTAGTGTTAATCCATCTATTTTATTTCCACCAATTTGTTAACAGCGCCCTCTATTCAGATTATAGTATTTTCACCGACTAAATAAATTGGGAAATTTTTATATAATATATGCAGATTAACTAGTTTACACATATTATAATATGCAAATTAATTTGAATAATTCGGCATTGATTTATGTTTGTTGGACTTTTGTTTAAAATATTACCATACTGAGGTTTGTGAAAAGTTAGCAGGTATATTAGGCCTCAGAAAACAACATGAGGTCCATTCAAGTTGCCATGGTAGAAATGTTAAATTATTTCCCTTAGTATTAGTCTCTTTATGCCATGCCCCCTAATGTGACATGAATGATATATTTCTATGTCAATGTAAACTAAGCGTATCTCTTGCAGTATGTTCTTGTTCAGCCACAACATTCAGTTATCAACTCAATCATTTCTCAGGATTAAAATTGTGGGGCAACGTTTGTCAGATTTCACTCAACAAAATGAACAGTTCAGGCAATGACAAGAACAAAATAACAGTTTTTCCTCACTCATAATTTATACTGTGAGACATGGCCAGATACTGAAAAAAACTGTTCAACTGCCAAATTGAATGAAAACCCTGAAAACCCACTGCAATTTCATACCATTTACTTCATGACATCACCAAATGTTATTACACCAACTTACATCAATTATCAATTCACTTGGATGTCAACATCCACAAAAAAGTAATACACACAATATCATATTCACATAGCAAATTAAATATTTTTAATATCACATCATAATTCATATATATGGTAATTGATACATATATATTTAAACATCATCTCGGGATATGACAGCACTATAGATATTAACTAAAAAGCCAATAATTACATAGCAATGCAATAAAGACAAACTTTAGACTACAAGCCAACAACTGGTGTATTCTCACCATGCTTATTTGATTTTTCATAATTTTAAATGAAATCTGTCCAAAGATTCATTAGTTCTCACTTAATGGTGATAATGACAGGAAGTACATTCCATTTAATCTATACATTACCTAACTACACAAATATGCACAGGCAACCACTATATTATATCATTATAGACTGCTTAAACTGTACTTTTAGCCATCGGGTGTTACCTACACCATAATATTATTTTACTGATAATAATGTTTAATTTTGATTAGATCACCACAACTTGCTACCAAATACATGTATCAGTTATTAAATGAAGTTCACTTCTGCATACAGGGTTCCTATACGTCTCATTTCATACTATCTTACCCCTTTGAATGAATTAATCTCAAAACTTACACAAATTGTGAACATTTCTTAAAATATGCAATCACATTATTTACTACTTGACATCTTAATTGACCTATGACCTGCAGAAAACAAACAATTACGCAGTTAAGATCAAAATCACAGTAACTGTTATAGTAAATAAATTAGCATACCATATTTGCTTTATTAAAAGGGAGTCTTCAATAATAGTGCACATATATAAAACATGAATTGCCTTTGTAAACTGGATCATTAAAAAATTACATAATTTGACCACAGACAGACCTCTGTCATTTACTTTCATATGCACCTCCAATAGATCCAATATATGGTAATTGGTTTCAAACTGCAGACATTTCTGTATTTTCAGAGGTTTCCACAAGAACTCCACAAAAATGTTCTCATAATTTAGACATTTTCAAGGCATCAAAATAGTCAAGCTTGGTTAGGACATTTTTAAGATTTCAGAGGAAACTTTTGATTTTCAATGAATTCAGTTAAGAATAAAAACTACATAACTACTTTAGTTTGGAAAATAAAATACTCAATGACACAGTCCCGTCTTTGAACAAGAAATAATATGGCCTTGGTTAGTAAAAATATGACTTTGTAGTAACTTTTAACAAAAACCATCAAGGCATATCAGAAAAGATAAGATAAGAAAATATAAAAATAAAACCAACATGGCTGCCAGTTGGCCATTTCAAATGAAAAACAAAATGTGAGTTGTTCAAAAAGATTGAATATAACTGAATCAGCTACACCTGAGAAACAGTCAATGACATGTTCAATTGCTGTTTTTTGGTGTTTATGAGAACAAAAAAAGCCACCGGTAAATGAAAGCTCAACAAAGCAGGCCAATACGGCCACTTTTGAAAAGAATTGGTCCTGGCATGTCTGGGAAATTATGACAGATGCACACATGCATGCACAGCCGAAACCTGAAACAATTCAGAGTTCCAGATTAGGGGGACAAAGAGTATTGGATATGTTTTCACCTGCATTCCATCGACTTACCATGACTCTCCGACACAGATCAGATATAATTTTCTTTTTAATCACACACACAAATAAAACTTTTATTTGGAATATAAAAATATGAGATTAGAATATTATCATTATATCAGTAACTACATATCTAGAGCAGTTATATGTACACATTCGTTCATAGACCTTATAATAAAGCTATAACCCAACAAGAAGCATTTTACCTAACTTCAATTAATTGAAACTATACGATGAAATTTGGAATCATTATCGCAATATACCACTTACTTACAATGAATCTATTAGTATAATATAAAGAAATATAAATGATTAAAGCGAGAGGGTCGTCACCTGCGCACACGGGGGAATCGAGTCCCAAACGACGATAATAACACACGCTAAAAACGCAAAGGCTCATAGGTAGACGATTGTTTGTAAACAATGACACGCCATCTGACACATGCGCAGGTGATGACTCCCCGCTTTAAATCGAGGTGTAAATGTAAATAAGAGTAATAATTTAATGCACACTATATCATACAGGGTGTAAATGAGGAAGAATAAACAGAAATTTGTCGGCAAAATTCAAATAAGGAATCCTTGTCGTAAATTGTGATCAAAATTCAAATTTATGAGGTATATGTATTAGAACGTAGTCTGTTGATGTTCAATATTAGTGAAACAAGCATTGATAAAACATATGTCAGTGTGTTTTTTAAAACTTGGTTTACAAATACATGTAGTCATGTCAAGAAAATATATAGTGGATATATGGAAAGATTCAAACTTTCACCACTTTTGTTTCAAATGTAAAATCATTATTTATTTCAAGATATTTTCTTACCATATATAACGAGGATTTCTCATCTGATTTTTGCTCAACATTTACATACTTATAAGAAAGTAAATTGAAGAACATATTTATTTTACAGTTTTTCTGATAACAGTATTTCTCAACTTGTATTGCACACATCAAGCATAATATAAATTCAGAACCATTCAATGCAGTACACAGGTACGTGTAATTGATTCCAGACTGCAACTACTAGCAGACATTGCACTGTCTGTATAGTTAAAAACTACACTGCTCTGAACCATAAAATCAATAACATTAAATTAATTCCAGTACTACCCCCGGTATATACGGATTCATTCAATATTTTACTTTCAAACAGCCTTGTTTAATTATTTAAAATCAATTAAATATAATGAATTAATTATGTAAGGTACGTGCTTGATGTCGTATTGATTTTGTAGCAATCAACATGTGATAGGTAGAGCACATTAAATCATCGTCTTTAATCCCCACATTTATCACTATTAACAGAATAAACCTGCATAATTTTGACCATTCTTACATTAAATGTCTTGATTTGATATGTAGTCTGTGGGAGATAAAAAGCCACCTGGGCATGTTGATTTTAGAAAACATGTTGATCAAAAACTTTTTTTTTTTTAGCCTAATAACACAATATACATGGCATTGTTTTTTCACTATTCAACAAAATAAACAGAAAAGAAATATTGAAAGATTGATAACAACTATTTCTAATATAATAAATAAATATAAGTTATTTAATATGTGATATTACCATATATTACTAGGCTATGGAAAATAATATATATAACGTCAACATGTGAGTATCTCTCTTATGATAAAATAATTTCTTTGTTGTCAAGGTAATTTTTCTTTCTTCAATCATATTCCGATCCAATGGTTATGCTGATCTCCCCTGGAGTGACATATGTTGAATGGTACCAAATATTGGTGTCGACTACAACTAGGAAAAAAAAAAAAGGTATATCATTTAGTAAAAATTTCAAAAGGTGATGAAAACATCTCGAGACGTGTTATTAATTGCTTGCAGACAAATAGCACACAGGAAATGAGATATACATGTATACCTACGTATAGTGTATATATTACGTACGCCTATAGACTTAAAATACATCTAATAATTTATCAGATTTTTGAAAACCTGATGAATAAAATAATTGTGGCTTAGAATAAGATGATATGAAAATAGAGAAAACTTTTTTTTTTGTATATGTTATTAACTAGATCTTACGATGTGTTAAAACAGACAAAAGATGTAGACTGGTCTCTTTTTTCTGATAATCCCAAGAATTGAAGCAGCAATTGATTGGAGTGAAAATTGGGACAATCTTATTGATATTGCTCAGAATTGATATCCGTGAAGTGCTAGCAGCGTAATTTGTAGCATGCATGCTGAACAAATATCTTATCTATTATTAACGGTAGAATCCTACAATCAGTGTCTTTTGAGAGTGTATGGTATTACCTTTTTTTATGATTTTGTTCACAATAAACTTAATGTTGAATGAAATATTTTTTTTTTTTATTAAATTTTTTTTGTGCCAGGCAACAATTGAATGCCAATTTTGTCTCTCCTGACTTTTTTTTTGTATGTGCACATTGCAAGTGCTAGTGCTGACACATTTTGCATTTTGCCACAGAAGTCATATTAATGTTTGCGACTACTTGACAGGGCTGTGTGGCCATCTCTCTGTCAAATGGCAACTTTAATGCACTATCCTGGCATCAACCAGGCTCGGTCGAACACAAGCACCTGCGGACCTTAACCAAGATTTCCCCCCAAAGTCGCATTTGTTAGTGAATGAATCTCGGCCAGTGGAATTGGCCTTCCCATTGAGTCTGTGGTACACTCACCCAGGGTAGGGGTTGACCATTTAATGTTCAGCCTAAGGTAGGATTTGAACTTGGGTCTACTGATCATAAGTTTGATGCGACAACCACTATGCTACCAGTTCTTTTGATTGTAAATATTATTTGGTTCAAGCTTCCACTCACCCAATGATATTTGAGTTATTTGTATATGAAAAAAATAGATCATAAGATTTGATCTCATTTCATAAAATTTGATTTTATCCTATTTTTATTTTGTGAGTTTGTATAATTTGATTCTAAACTTTAAATTGAAAAGTAGAATTATTACCAATATTGTTGTCAGCTTAAATGATTTCAAGTTGTTACAGCTTACATGTATGACTGATATATATGCCAGATATTGAAAATGCCAAATAATGGCCATGCTCACATGGTTCTTACATACTTTTGCAAGTTAAAATGGTCATTGTGCTTTGTCACTAGAGTGCACAAATTCATAGGAAAGGTATACATATTACATATTAATATATAATAAATGCAAATTTACTATATAGATTCCTTGTACATTAGATGACTGTGGTATCAACATAAGTTATTACAGTGCGCAATATGTTAGCCGTACCAAACAATATGACAGTAAGAAAAAAAAACACAAGTCACAATGGTGCTAACAGAAAAATTAATCCATGAAATAACATAAAATCTACATAGGTCAGTGAGTAATGGATCACCACATCACAAATGGCACTTACTCTTCAATGGGAGACTGACTTGTGTATCTATACTATAAAATTGGGTTACCTACTAGCATTGTACGCGCATAACTCAAGATAAAGCTGGGTTAACTAGCAATGTACTTGCATAACGCAAGATAAAATTTATATTCAATATACTAAATGACAGTCAGCATGGTATACAATAAATAGTTTTATTTTTGTTTGGTTTGACATTTTTTTTTTTTTTTAAATTGGCAGAAATCGCTCGAAATGTCTTGTCAATGAGCAGCGTGTTATAAAATGACATGACACTGAGATAATGTTAATGATTATATATTCTCAGTATAGTAAATACTTGAATTTACCATAATTTACACTACCTGAAAAAATAGCCTGATACATTACAATATTACCAAGGTTGAAAACAACTGAAAGTGCACCATACATTTCTTAATCTATTTATGGACAATAGCATTTACACTGAATGAGACCTTGAGTGTAGCACTGATACTTATCTCAAACAAAATATATCATTCTCAGGCATTCACACCGAAAGTGTGGCGAAACATGCAAGAAATCCCCACTGTTGACATTTAAATGACTACAAAAACTGCAACATATTTGCATATTACACTGTTTTATTAGCCTCGGTCAAAGAAGGTATACCCTTTAAGATAAGAAGATTATACATCTGTAATTTCAAGGGCTGTACATGCTTGACAGAAAGATGAGTTTAACAATATCACAGTTATATTTATAACAGATATATTATCTTAATGTTAAATCCTAAAAATCTAGCTGATCAAGATGCTGAGAGTTGAAGATATAACATTATTATATCAGTGTCTCTTTAAACATTCTCTTTCTCTTATTTTATAAGCCAAGCAATATAAAATACATGTATTTGCAAGCATGTATTTTTTTCATTTATAATATCATGCCAAGATAAATGACATTGTTATCATGCAAAACAAATGAGGTATTACAATTTTCTAATGAATTTGTTTTCCAAATCCCAAATTGATGCGCAAAAGAATTTTAAATTTTTTATTTAAAATTGTCATTAAAATATTATTTTTCATAGAAAATTAAAAAATTTATTCTTAGACTATTTTTTTTTTTTATTTGGTTGAAGGCAAAAATGAG